CCCCAAAACCCCAAAACCCCAAAACCCCAAAACCCCATTCCTTAAATTAGATTTGAATAATAATATTAAGATAAATAATAAATATGGGAAGGCTTTCTCAAAATCTCAGAAATTCAAAACCAACAAAGTTTAAAGCTCTTCTAGTCTTAGTCTTCTGATCATTACTAATCAGTGCACAGGCCAGCTACACAGTCAAAGATTTCCATTCAATATGGCCATGGCAGTATATTGGAGACGGATTGTATGAAGTTGATATAGGAATTAGTCAAGGAACTAAATCTGCAGACCGTAGTCTTCCTGACGGAGCTATCGTGCTAGCAGTTGGTGATATTAATGATAGCAAACATAATGATTTGATCTCAATGTCTGATGACCAGATGACAGTGACTGTTAGTTACTTCAACAATGATGAGTATAACTTTGATAAGCAAAAAGTATTACCAACTGGAGACTGCAAGACCTCTGCAGCTTTTATCATTTCTAATCTAAATTACAGGATTGCTCTGGTGTGTACTGAAGACCCCAACCATGATTATGTCAAACTGTTTAAAAATGATGATAAATTTAGCTCCGAAACGCTTAGCAGTTTTAAGATGAAAAAGGGCAGCCAACCACTCTTTATTGATATCAATAGCGATACTTTCTTAGATCTTGTCTATAACCAAGATGTTACCTCAAACAGCTTTGACATTAGGGTAGCTCTTTATAATGAGGATAATGCGGGATTTGAGACCAGTACACAAGGTCTGCTTGAAGAATATCTCTACGAAAACCCATCACTTGGATGTCAGAGTCTGCCTAATAAAGAGCAGTTGATCTTAGAGAGTCCAAACTTCTCATCGAACATTGATGTCAATAATGACTGTGTCTCAGATTTATACCTTAATGTTGTAAATACTGCCGGAGAGTCTAAAGGATTAATGCTGATATCAACTAGGATTAAGAATAATGCTCAGGAGTTTAGAAGATATTGCCTTGTTGAAGCAGATAACCTTTCATCGTCCAAGCTTAGTTCACCTGTTTTTGCAGATTTTGATAAAGACGCTTCTGTTGATAAAGCATTTTTCAATACTGAGACGAACTCGATTTATGTTTATTATAACGAAATGCAGGCTAATGGTCCTAGCTCAAGTAGTTTGTGTAAATCAATGCCCCTTATAGAAAATTCAGAATCAGAGACTGACTTTAATTCTTACTCTCTCTTTGAGAATGTTTTTGATGTCATTAGTATTGGGTCAACCACTGGACTCTATGCCAATTCTTTAGTATCAAACTTCATTCCAGGACAGATGAGAGTTGGTGATATTGATAGTAATGGGTTCCCAGATATTCTTATAACAAAGACCACACCTGACGGAAATCCTTCTACTACCATACTGGTGAACACAGAATGTACCACTCAAGATTCAGCTTCTCCTACCAGTGAGCAGGATACCAAAAATGAGGATTGTAAGAAAAGAACATTCGATACATCTCATGATTACACTACATTAACTGATCAAATTGATACTTCACTCTACGCTTTCTTCCTTGATTTTGATGATAATGGCAGAGAAGATATCATTCTTGTTGGAATGGGAACATCAGGAAAGACAGTTGCAAGAGCCTTCTATAATAACTATGCAAGAGATAGTTACTACATCACAGCTACATCCTACACATCAAGCAGTAGCTCTTTCGGAAGCAAGGTATATGGAAGCACTTACAGAGGTATTTACACTACCCTACAAGATTCGAACAAAGTATTTGTTTCCTTCCAGAATGTTAGAAACTCATATGGCGCTTTGGAAGCTCCTGTTGCTACATTTGCTATCGGTCGTTCGAACAACTACATTGAAGACTTCACCGCAACATATCCTATCCAAAAGTACACTAAAGCCGGCGGGAAGGACAAACTTTCAGTAGAGGTGAACACTTGGACCCCTATAATCCCAAACTCACACTTGTTAGTAGACCTGAGTGCTAAAACCGCCAATAAGTGGGGAATTAAGCTGCTGATTAACCCAACTGACAGCTTTATCTTAGTCGGGATAATCCTCACTCTGATCCTGATTATTATCGGAGGAATCATTATCTATATTCACAGGCAGGAAAAGAAGGAAGATGACAAAGAGAGAAATCCAGGATTGGACTTCTTCTAAATAAGTATTGAGATTTAAGTTTAGATGTATAGCTCAGTGAGGTCGTGGTGGCGATGGAGAAGGTTTAGCTTAAAATTTGGCAATTTAGGGGATGGGAATGGGATAGTAGGAGGTAATGAGGGTATAGGATGGTTTGAGGTCTTAGTTTGTATATATGGGTTATTAGTGAGAAATTTTGGTAATATCTTTTCAGGAGATTTATGGAGAATCAAATAGTTTTATTCAAGTAGTCCAGTTTTATTGGGGTTTTGGGGTTTTGGGGTTTTGGGGTTTTGGGG